CATAGCAACCCTATACAGGGTTTCTGAGGCTGTAAATCTTTACGGGAGCAGAAAGCCTCATCTTTCGTGTAACAGCTGGTAGTTTCAAATTGTTGCATTTGAAGTTAGCAGCCCGATTCGTAACCACTATGCTACCACATTTTGTTTATCCATTTCTTTATTGATAGACACATGGGCTATTTCTACCTTGTGGCCATTGTGAATAATGCTACAGTGGACTTTGGTACACGATATCTGTTTGAGTCCCTGCTTTCAGTCTTTTGGGTATGTAGATAAGAGTGGAGTTGCTGGATCGTATGGTAGGTAATTCTGCTTAACTTTTTGTGGAAGCACCAAACTGCTTTCCACAGCAGCTGCACCATTTTACAGTTCCACTAGAAATGGACAAGCATTCAGATTTCTCCACATGCTTGTATGATTTGCTTTTTAAGATTTAATGTCTTTCCTCAAAAAAGCTTTGACCTTAAATAATGTTATTGTAAGGAGCTCTGGTAGCGTAGTGGTTACGAATCGGGCTACTAACCTCAGAGTCGGCAGTTTGAAACTACAGCAGTTCTGCGGGAGAAGGATGAGGCGCTCTGCTCTTGTAAAGATTTACAGCCTCGGAAACCCTGTGCAGGGTCACTATGAGTGGGAACCGACTCCACGGTACTTAACAACAACAATGTTATTGTATTTTTCATAGCTTATTTATATGACTAGCTTACTCTCTGTTTTGGTAGAATAACCTTTGAGCTTTGGCAAATACTAAGAACAGTTTAGTACTACCAGACAGAAAGTTTACTGTTCTCTAAGATAAATACAAAGGAGCTCTCTGGTAGCATGGTGGTTATGAATCAGGCTGCTAACCTCAAGGTTGGCAGTTCGAAACTACCAGCCGTGCCGTGGGAGAAAGATAAGGCTTTCTGCTCTCATAAAGATTTAACAGCCTCAGAAACCCTGTACATGGTCGCCATGAGTTGGAACCGACTCCACGGTACTTTCAACTACAAAAAGATAAATACAAATTAATCGACTACAAATGAGTTTCTTTCTCTCATCCAGTAAATTAAATATCACCAGCAATTGATTCCGTTCAAATTTAATGGCCAGTGTAAAAAGGATTATGTACAGGAACACTTAAGACAGTTATTTTTAGAAGAATTTTTTTTTCTTTTTTCTTTAATGGCTAGATAGTGTGTGTTGTTGTTAAGTGGCTTTGCGTCAGTTCCGGCTCATAACAACTTTGTATAGGGTTTCTGAGGAGCGATTGGTGAGTTTGAACTGCTGAGCTTTCTGTTCAAACTGATTTTGGGATTGAGTGCTTATCCTACAGCTCCACACCAGATATTGCTTAGGCCTCAGGAAACAACCCCTTGGGCAGAATGCTCATTTCAGTGTCTTAAAAGTGCTTTCCACTGGTTGGAATTAGGTTTTATTTAAGGTCAAAAGTTCAGAGTGGGCCTAATGAGTGGGCATTTTACATGGTCTTAGAATTCTAGCATAAGTAAGATGAAGAACCAAGAGCAGAGGGCGACTTCTAGTGAGTGTCAGAGTTTTCACCCTGATCTAAAAAGAATCTCCCATTTTATTGGCATCCTTACTCCAGCTTTTTTGTTATATTCTAAATAAATTTTTTTTTTTTTTGGATAAAGGAAACAAGGGTAAATTGCTGCAATTTGATTAACCTGATTACACTCAGAGAGTGGTGTTACTCTAAATACCAACAGAGAAGGAAAGAGTCTTCATATCAAGTATTAATGCTGTCCCCTCTCTACACAGGGTAGATAGGGACGGGCAACTTGGGCATTGGCTACCTAAAATGAGGGGACAATAAAGGCACGAAGTGACTGGCTTACAAGGTTTCAAGAGGGAGTTTAGTTTAAGAATAGAGGGGAGGGGAAGAGTCCCCACTGAATGGCTGTCATCTTGTCTAGATGGGTCTGGTGAAAGGAGATGGGGGTAAGATTCGAAAGATTCAGTAGTGAATAATTGTTATGACTAATTGCGACTGTCACAATTGTAAAGGTAGAAGTTTTGTAACAAAAACAGGGGAGTGGTTAATCTTACAGTCCAGAAACAGAGGACCCTAGGACCATCAAGAGAGTAGCGCACAAGCAGAATGCGGGACCTTATCCAGAGAAGCAACAGCGCCAAAGGTGGGCAGAGATGGGGGCATGGAGAGGGGGAGTGGCTGAGGACTCTAGATTCATGGACTAAGAAGAGAGGGACTGAGAGCTGGTGGCCAGGAGGCAGACTTGCAGAATGTGCCCTTTGGAAATGTAAATTATTATATATGCCTGAGTGGTTTTTTTGTTTGCTTGTTTTTTAAAAAGCTTAAGTGGATAGAGAGAAATACTGTTAACTGATGGTACATGGAAGGGCTTATAATCATTGTAATGAAACAAGATGTATGATTTGTTGAATGTAAAACTGATGATCTGCCCTGTAAACTTTCACTCAATCCACAATAAAAACCTTAAATAAAATTTAAAAAAAGGTTAATGAGAAAATTCCACTATCTTTTAATTCAATTTTTCTATGAACTTTTTGAATCCTCCTCATATATATGTGGGTGGTAGGCCATAGTTCTAAGAAAGAGGAAGGACCTAAGTGGGGTGGGATGAAGAGGAACAGGTTTTTATGAAGGCTTGCCAGAAGAGCTGATGCTTGGACTGAGGTTTGAAGGTTGAGGACAAATTCAGGTAAGAGTGAAAGAAAGTTTTAGGGAGAGATAATTGCATCTGTAAAGGCACAGAGGTACGGAAATCACCTATTGAACAGCAGGTAATTTAGTATGGTTGGTGCTGCGCAAGTTTAAGTATGGGAGAGAAGGTTGAAAAGATGGGCTAGGTCCAAATTAGGTGTGTTTGTTTTGGTTAGTGTGATAGAGTCAGATTTGTGAATTTTGGAAAGATCACTCTGAAAGTTAGTGCCAGGCAGGACAAAAGATAAGCAATCCACTTTGACAGCTGTTTAAGTAGTTTAGACCAAAGATGAGAGCGTGGACTAGAAGAAGTCCTGGTGGGATAGATTTGAAAGATATTCTGGAGGTGGGATAGACAAGGTTTAGAAGAAATGGGAAGGGATCTTGGTGTGGTGCTCTAGGATAACTGACTCAATGGCACTTAATACACAATAGGAGAAATTGGGTAAGAAACAGCAGGAGGCAAAGATGTCAAAGCATTTGGGTGAATGCAAGTGCATAACTGATTTAGAGAATAAGGTCGAATTTGGGGAAGAAACTGAGCTCAGTTTGGAACATTGACTTTAAGGTGCCTATGGGACACACAACAGGCAATAACTGGTAGACATTGGTGTATAGGTGCTCATGAAACCTTAAAGGTAGAGTTTTCATCTTATTCACCTTTCTCTTTCATAGCTCTGATAATCTTTCCTTGTATATAAAGGATATCTAGTGTGTAGAGACCTGGTGTGTCACTGTGGGTTAATGCACCAGACTGCAAAGCCATTCAAACTGTAAGGTCAGTGGTTCAAGCTCACCAACTGCTCCTCGGAAACTCTATATAGGGTCGCTGTGTGTTGGAATCGACTCTACAGCACTTAACCACAACAAGCATGTGGGTATATAGATGCTGTCCCTTAAAAGATGTGATCTTAAATATTGAGGAAGTTATTTCCTCTCTCAAGACCTTTCAGTTAAAGCGAGGGAGTTTCCCTTTTCTGTCAAGTGAGGGAGTTAAAATTGATCAGTGGTTCTCAGCGAGGGTTTTGCCGTAATCTGATATGTTGGGATCAATTATGAAACATGACAAGTGATCTTTACTTGCCCTACTTCAAAACTCAAGCAATGTTTACTTGCTGTTATAAGTTAAAGTTTACTGTCATTCTTTCTCAATTGCATTTCAGTGTTTTCTTGAATGTGAAAGAAAGAGGTGGAATTATATAGCTAGGCAGCTGGAATTTCATAACTCTGGCTATGCCAATGGGAGTGGCACACAAGTGTTGTTGTTGTTAAATGGCTTGAGTCAGTTCCAACTCATAATGACCATGTATAGGGTTTCTGAGAAATAACTGGTGGGTTTGAACCACCAACCTTGCAGTTAATTGTCCAGTGCTTATCCTACAGCACCACATCAGAACTCCAGAAGAAAGGCTTCGCTGATCGGGAATTGAACCTTGTGTGCGACGGACCACTAGGGAGCTTCATGAAGTAGGAGTGGGGGGGGTGGAGGGTGGAGTTAAGGATCCCTATACTAAATAGTGGAGCCCCAGTGTGGTACTTTTGAAGAAACATTGGCCTGCTAACCACAAGGTCGGTGGTTCAAACCTACCAGCTGCTTCTCAGAAACCCTATACAGGGTGGCTCTGAGTTGTAATCAACTCATTGGCACTTAACAACAACATACTAAATAGTGGTTACGGGCTTACCAAAAACCAAACCCACTACTGCCAAGTCGATTCCAACTTATTGTAGCCCTAAAGTCCGAGTAAGGAGCTCTGGTAGCGTAGTGGTTATGAATCGGGCTGCTAACCTCAGGGTCAGCAGTTTGAAACTACCAGCTGTTCTGTAGGAGAAAGATGAGGCTCTCTGCTCCGGTAAAGATTTACAGCCTCAGAAACTGTACAGGGTTGCTATGAGTTGGAACCGACTCCACGGCACGTAACAACAACAAAGTCAGAGTAGAACTTCACATAGGGTCTCTAAACCTGTAAGTCTTTGTGGAAGTAGACTGCTACATCGTTCTCCTGAGAAGTGGATGGGGGTTTCAAACCACTGACCTTTTGGTTAGCAGTTGAGTGCTTTAACTATTGCACAGTCAGGGTTTCTATTAAGGCTTTGTTGTTAAGTGCTGTTGAGTCGGTTCTGACTCATAATAGCACTATATAGGGTTTATGAGGAGCATCTGGTGCATTTGAACCACCAACCTTGTGGTTAGCAGTACAGTGCTTTACCCTACAGCGTCATACCAGACGTTAAAACTACAAAATTCTATGTTAATATTTAAGACCTACCATTCTGATTATAAATGATAATTTTTATTTTTGCAACTTCAGGAACTCTATTTTAACACCCTCTCAAAACAGAAAAAACAAGTCATGGAGAAGAATGGGAATAACCGGAAGCTTCGGGTTTGTGTTGCTACTTGCAACCGTGCTGATTATTCCAAACTTGCCCCGATCATGTTTGGCATTAAGACGGAACCTGAGTTCTTTGAACTTGATGTGGTGGTACTTGGCTCTCACCTGATAGATGACTATGGGTAAGATGAAAGCATTTTCTTATGGTATCCTTCATTGTAACACAGTGCACTACAGAAAACTTGAATTTTGAAGCCATTTGGAACTAATTCTGAATCCCACTTCTTGTCCCTTAATTTTTATGTGACCTTGGAGAAATTACTTAACATCCATGAAGTTCAGTTTCCTCAGTAAAATGAGGTAAAAATCTATAATATGTAGGTTATTTTTAGGATTGGATTGATAGTAATCCTATCACAGTGATAGTACTTAGTAGATACTTGATAAATGATAACTATAAATACTATTATAGTTTGTTATCACATTCTGGAGAAATGCCAATTGTAAATATATATGTGTGACTATAAAATGTAATGTGATTCATTCCCCATTATCTGTTTTGTGAGTTCTCATGGCAATTATATTTTAATACTGGTACATAGATCAGCAGCATATATAGTAGTTGGTATAGAACAAGATTTTAAAAATCTAAGGAGCTTTAATGGCACAGTGGGTAAATACTTGGCTGTTAACAAAAAAGTTGGTGATTCAAACCCACCAGTGGTTCCATGGGAGAAGAGACCTGGTGATCTGCTCCCATAAAAATTGCTTAGTTAAGTAACCCTGTGGGGCAGTTCTACTCTGCCCTATAGGATTGTTCTGAGTAGGAATCCACTTGAGGGTACATAACAAAAACTGATCAATAAGGTAAAGTAGAATGTAAGTAACCATTGTCATTGATATAGATTATGATGTCATTGAGTTTGTTATGGAGTCCTGGTGTGGCACTGCAGGATAATGCACTGGACTGCAAGGTCAGTTTGAACAGCAAGGTCAGCGGTTCAAACCCACCAGAGACTCCTTGAAAACCCTATGTAGGGTCGCTATGGGTCGGAACCAACTCGATGGCACTTAACTTCAACAAACAATAAGTTTGTGTATGATGACAATTGAGAAATCTTTGAGGAAACAGGATGTATAAATCAGAAATAAATATTCACTTTTGCTGTATGTACTTAAACTAAGAAAGTAGAAAAGTAGCATTTAGTGTACCTTGAAAATGTCCCCAAAGATGGTAAAAATATGTATATACTGTTATATATGAAGGAGTTGTGTGTTAAATTAAAATTGTCTTTTTCAGATTATTTGTTTAAAACAAGACAACAACAGCAAAAACAAAAATCTGCCTGCAAAACTAACTTGACAATTTACTCTAAGGAAATAAAGACTAGAGAAGAAACTTGAGGATAGCACAAGAATCTGTAGCTTATTTCTAATGTGAACTGAATTCTGACTAAAATATCCAGTTGAGTAATAAGACAAGGGAGAAGAGAAATTTTAGCTATTGCTTGAGATGGAGTCTCTTACTTGTATAAGAAAGGTTTGATAGGAAGACTAGGGGAAAGAGGCTCTCAAGGAAATTGGAGTAGGTTTCTTATTTGCCCTATAATAAATTGGGAGCGCTGTGGCTCTGTAGGATTAGCACTGGACTGCTAACAAGGTTGGTGGTTCAAGCCTACCAGCTACTCCGCAGGAGAAAGATGAGATTTACAGCCTCTAAAACCCTATATAGGGATACTGAGTTGGAATGTACTTGACAGCACTTAACAATAATAATTAAAGGTGAAAATGTAATGTAAATAGGAAACTTGACTCATATTTAATAAGAATGAATGCATGTTTAAAATGCATTCTAAGATAGGAACTTGTCTCTGGGAGACGAACTGGAGGACTGGGGAATA